AAAAATAAATTATACTTATTTTATTTTATCTCAGTTTAGTTTAGTTTAGTTTGCTTTATCCTTACTTATCTTTATTTTACTTTATCTTCCCTTATTTTTCTTTTTTAAATTGGTTTTGCTTTTATTTCATTTTTACTTTTTAAATTTACTTTCATTCTATTTATATAATTAATTTTTGCTTTAATTTTTATTTTATTTCTTAACTTACGCATTTATTATTTTATTACATTTCAATAAATTATTTCACGTTGATCTCATTTCATTCTATTATGTTTTATTTTAAAATATCTATTTTTATTTTTTATCATTTCATTTATTTTATTTTTTATTTTATGTCCTTTTTATCTTAGAACAATTTGTTACAATTCTATTATACACTTCATTTTTATTTTATTTTTTATTATTCTATTATGTGTCACTCCATTTTATTTATTTATTATTTCGTTCACACTTTGATTTCTTATTGTCTACGATTTTCATTTATTTTCCTTTATTTTAAAATCTTAATGATTTCATTTTATTATTTATCTTATTTTATTTTCGAGCCCGGGCCGGTCCTGCCGTGCCACAGGCCGGGATAAAGCCGGATGAGCAGAACCACCTCGCCAAGGGGTGCCACGGGCAGGGGGCTCGTGGGACAGGGCCAGTGGAATTCGGTGAGATTGACCGAGATCGGGTGAGATTCACAAATCTATGGTGACATTTCATGACATTCACCAAGATTCGGTGAGATTTGGTGACATTCGGGGACATTTATTGAGATTTGTCGAGATTTGATGAGACTTGGTGAGATTCACCCATATCTGTTGAGATTCACCCATATTTGGTGAGATTCACCAATATTTGGTGAGATTCACCCATATTTGTTGAGATTCACCCATATTTGTTGAGATTCACCCATATTTGTTGAGATTCACCCATATTTGTTGAGATTCACCCATATTTGGTGAGATTCACCCATATTTGGTGAGATACACCCATATTTGGTGAGATTCACCAATATTTGGTGAGATTCACCCATATTTGGTGAGATTCACCCATATTTGGTGAGATTCACCCATATTTGGTGAGATTCACCCATATTTGGTGAGATTCACCCATATCTGTTGAGATCTGGTGAGATTTCCTGAGATTTGGTGAGATTGGCTGAGACTTGGTGAGGTTCACCGACGATACTCGGTGAGATCTGGTGAGATTCACCAATATTTGGTGAGATTTGGTGACACTCAGGGACATTTATTGAGATTTGTCGAGACTTGATGAGACTTGGTGAGATTCACCCATATTTGTTGAGATCTGGTGAGATTTCCTGAAGTTTGGTGAGACTGAGCGAGACCTGGTGAGGTTCACCGACGATACTCAGTGAGATCTGGTGAGATTCACCAATATTTGGTGAGATTTGGTGCCATTCGGTGAGATTTACTGAGATCTGGCAAAATTTGCCCAAGCCTAAGCTGCGAGGAGGCATCTGCTGAGCGATGGGTGGGCAATGGATCCGGAGGGGATCCCAGTACCCCCGGGATCCACCGCGGTCCAGACCTTTCCCCACAGCTCCCAGGCCATGCTCCAACGTCACCGTGTCCGTCCGGCTCTCGCGGCACCTCCGATCCCCCCAAGCCCTGCCGAGGTGCCAGACCCGGCCCTCGGCACCGCAGGGACCAGGGGAACGTGCCAGACCTGTTCTGCCGACCTGTCCCGCCCTCTGCAAACCCCAAATTCCAGGTGGGGGACACGCCACCGCTTCCCGAGGTTCCCCCAGCATGACGCTGCGTCATCCGCGGGGATTCGGGAGGTTGGGGAGGAGCCGTGGGGCAGCTCAGCGGCACCAAAATTGGGGTCACCCACATTTGGGTTTGTTCTCATTTTCCAAAGCTCCATTTTGTGGTTTAAATATTTTTGTCTCATTAAATATTTCGGTGCCTCATTAAATATTTTTACGTCTCATTCCCTGATCCAGGTTTTTAAGGGAAGGAGTTGTGACGCCTGGTGGGGACAGGGACAGCCACCCCAGTGCAGTCCCAGAGGGGTGCTCAGGGGGAAGATGTCACCAGGACCATGTGTAGGGCCAGGGCTTGCCCCCAGAGCTGTCCCACACCAGGGACGGGCTCTGCTACTGGGCAGAGGGGACCCCAAAGGTCTGGGACCCCCCTAAGCATCCAGCTGCACACCAGGATCATAAAATCATGGAATGCTTTGGGCTGGGAGGGACACTGGAGCCCATCCAGTCCCACCTGCCATGGGCAGGGACACCTTCCACCAGCCCAGGTCGCTCCAAGCCCCATCCAACCTGGCCTTGGACACTTCCAGGGATCCAGGGGCAGCCACAGCTTCTCTGGGTGACCTGTTTGGGATGAAACCCAAGTGCTGCCAGAGCTCCCAGGCCCACGCTGGCAACACCTTCCTGCCCGCGGCTGGGAAAGGTGAGAGGACCTTGGGAAGGGGCAGCCGAGGCTCTGGCTGCCGGGAGGAGCAGGACCAGCCCAACAGTACCATCTCCTGGCCGCGGGCAGGGCTGCGGGGGGGGACGGAGCTGCCAGAGCCGGCTCTGGAACGGGGCCTCTGCGCTGGGAAGGACGGGGCTCGTGGCCCCCTTTGCACAGGGAGGTGTTCCATGAGGGATTTTGGGCTCTGCTGATTCCCACGGGCACAGAACCGAGCTGGAAAGAGAGCCAAGGCCGGATTTTGGGGCTGCTGGAGGTGTTTGGTGCAGGTTGGACGTGGCAGTCCTTGCACCAGTGACACCAGGAGGACGAGGCTGGGGGGAGGGGGTGTCCTGCCCACTCCTCATCCCAACCCCAGGCACAGGGATGTCTCCAGGGATTGGATCCAGACCACCCAAACCAGCTGTGGTCCCTTGGCTGGGGGGACTTCATGACTCTCCTCTGCTCTTCCCCTGGGTGCTGCACCTTGGGGTGATGGTTGTTGAGCTCCTGTGACCACAAAGAGCCTCCTGACCCCTCAGTACCTGGATGGGACCTGGATGGGACCTTTGGGAAGTGAGGACACCCCGGTGGGTGTCCCCTTCCCCTGGGGAGCTTCGCCGAGAGGTGAAAGCATCACAACTCAGGCGTTCCTGATGTCCCTTCAGCACCTGCAGCTTCTCTCTCCACTGAGCCTCCCCCGCCTCTGTCACCACCATGTCCTTGTCACCACCAAGTCCTCATACCCTCGTGTCTTCTCTCCTTTCAGCTCTTTTCTGGTGTTTGATACATGAAGGTTTATCCGACAACTCAAATTACCCCAAGGCTCTTCACTCCCTGCAATAAAAGTCCTTAAAAAACCCGTTCTAGAATCGACACATTCAAATAATCATCTTCAACATGTGCACAGGGCTACAGTTTTTACATTAAGGTTGATTTCAGTTTGGTTTTTTAATTAATTTCCATTCCCTGGAAAACACTCAGGCAGGACATTGTATCTTCTGGAGGGGTTTCCACAGAATTTGTAGGTGCACAAAGCAACAAACAAACTGTTTCTTGACTTTGGAGCTACCCAGGCAGCATTCCCTCATCCAAACAAGCATTCCCAGACCTAGACCATGCAGCCCAGGGTAAACCCAGGGTTATCAGATCCCTTGGAACCAGAGGATTAAGGTCCAGAAGCTTGAGGGTATTTGGACAGCTGACCCTACCTCACATCCCTCCAAGGAGCTGGACCTGAGATAAGGTGGGAACCCCCTCTCAAGGTTCTCCAGAGGGCATCATTCATCCTTTCTGCCTCCGTGGAGGATTCCTGAGGATTTCAGGACCTGCTCTGAAGTTGTGTGCCTGAAGTGAAGGTCAGTCCAAGGGTCTGTCATGATGGAAGGACCAAGATCTTAATTCCTTTGCCTCTGAGATGCTGAGATTAGAATTCTATTTTCAGTGCTGCTGAATTTCTCAGAGGCTGTAATGAGTTCCAGGTATAATTCCACTCTTCATTCCTTCCTGAATTGCACATTTTAATGTGCTAGGCCATGGGAAGGAGAAGAAACCAGGAACCAGCTTCTTCTGAAGGTAAATCAGTTATTACAGTATAAAATACAGGATTAGAGCAAGAAACTCCGTGTCTGGAGCCCTGGGACTTGGATTTTCCAGGCTGCGAAGGAGTTTGGAAAACAGAGGAAGATAAACATCATTCCCAACCAGAAATATTTTGGTAATGTCACATGGTAAATAGCTCATCAAGGGATTGATTATAGCAACTTGGTGTTTGCTTATCATCTGCAGCTTGAGCACATCCAGAGGGTTCCCAGGGGATGGGTTTGGAATCTGTGTAAGGAGGAAAACATGGGATAGAGAACGGGCAAAAACTGGGATGTGATGTGTGTGAAAGGGGTTCCTCAGCCTCCCTCTGGTACTCTGGGATGGGAAAACAAATGCTGTGGGTAGAATATGGAATATTTCTGTTTGTTTATTTGTTTCTAAGGAGTTTCTCCTCCCGCTTGGAGCAGCGAATCCACAGCTCCTGCTGAAAACAGGGGAGGGAGAGGAAGCAGGTGAGTTCTGTCAGGAGGTGTCTCACCCAGCTGTTGGAGGGCCAGGATTGGACCCTGCAAGGAATCATGGAATCATTCAGGTTGGAAAAGCCCCCTGGGATCAGAGTCCAACTGTTTCCCCAGCACTGCCAAGGCCACCACTGCCCCGTGTCCCCAAGTGCCACATCCACAGGGCTTTTAAATCCCTCCAGGGACAGGGATTCCACTTCCCTGGGCAGCCTGTGCCAGGGCTGGACAACCCTTTCCATGAAGAAATTTTTCCCAATATCCAAACTAAACCTCCCCTGGCACAGCTTGAGGCCTTTTCCTCTCCTCCTGTCCCTTGTTCCCTGGGAGCAGAGCCCGACCCCCCCCAAACTCCACCCTCCTGTCAGGGAGTTGGAGAGATCAAGAAGTTCCCCTCTGAGCCTCCTTTTCTCCAGAGGGTCCCAAAAGGGCTCTTCTTTCTCCAGCAGGA